GTCTCATTGTGTTCTCTAGAGTCTTCAACAGCTCTTTAAACAACCAGTATAGAATGAGTGTTACGGCTTTAGAGATGGTGTAGAGGCAGAATGTCTCTATTGATTGTGAAGGCACAAGGGAGCATTACTAAAATCATGAGTTAATCAATGGTGGGATTGAAATATATCCTTGGATTTAAATAAAAATGTTACTCCCCCTCAACAATTTGATTGGTACATAATTTGCATATCATACAATTCAGTAGTTCAATTGTTCAATCACATCAGGGAGAATTGTACCATCACCACCACATCAATCTTAGAGCATCCCCCTGCCCCCATTGGTTAAACCGCCTTTAAAATGAGTTGTGCAATCACAGTTAGTTCCAGTGTTCCCTCCCCGCTCCTGCCTTCATTATCTACACCTGAAATTGCCTTCCCCCACGCCTGAATTTCCCATAACCCCTTGTATTCATTATTCTCATTATGCATCCACTCCACGAAACACAACAGAAAGCAATTAAAAACAAAATTGCACTAAGGTGATAAGGATCAAATCATAATAGTATAAAGAGAAAACTACAAATAATTCATAAGAAGGAAAAGAGCCCCATCAGCATTCAAAAAGTTAGGGAAGAAATTTCTGTCATGGAAGAAGTAAGAGACACTTACACCCAGTACAAATACAGGTCATGTCTACAGGGAGGTCCACTTGCTAAATACCAAGTATGATTCAGTCTAATCAAGATTATAATGGTTTCTGCCTGATAGTAAAGCTGTCTGAGACTCTTGCCTTTGGCTAGAATGGATCTGTCAATGGCTCAATCTGATTAGATACTTTACAGATGGGATTTGGGTTCCCTTTCTTCTCCATAGCCTTCTACAAATTGGATGCTCATAATTTTAGCTCGGATACTTTCCACCATATTTGAGTTATCTTTTCTTCTTTTTTTTTCTTTTTCTCCCTTCACCCACTCCTCTGCTGCCCGTCCCCCAGAGAGGAGGTTATATGTAGCTCCCTGTGATCAATTCCCCCTTTCTACACCCTCCTTCCCTCCTGGTATCACCACTGTCACCCCTGGTCCTGAGAGGTTCATCTGTCCTAGATTCCCTGCGTTTCCAATTCCCATCTGTACCGCTGTGCATCATCTGGCATATTTGAGTTTTATAATTGTCATCTTTGGATCAAACAAGCTGATGTGCTTCTTCCATGAGGACTTAGTTGACTCCTCACTTAGATGGCTGCTTATTTGAATACAAGCCTTTAAGACCCCAGGCACTATTCCAATTGATAGCCGGGCACCATCTACTTTCTTCACCACACTTTGCTGTAGCAACCTTGTCTTCAGTGATCATTTAATGAAGGTGAATATTGAGCAGAGCCATGATGTAAGAACTAGTTGTTCTTAAGTTGGAGCTAGGATTTAGTGTGAGCCCCAAACTGATTCCTGGATCTTTTTGCTGTTGTTGTTTTAACTTTGCATATGTCATATCATTCCATAGTTCAATCTCGTCAAACATAATTTGCAATTGATTCCCTAATCAAACAAAAATCTTACTTTTAAGTGACAATGCCAAATAGATTTCGGCAGATTAAGACAGACTAGGAAGGAAAGCCCACTTCTAAAATCAACCAATGAAACCCCTATGGATCATAATGGTCTGAGCAGCAGCCATCTGATCATGGGGCTGGTTCATGACTAGGCAGCATTTTGTTCCTTTGTGCATGGGTTGTCATGAGTCAGCAGTCAACTTGGTATCAGCTATATCAACAACATTATTTTGAGGGGTGTGAGTTTGAAGGGGTGCCTCCTATACATGGAACGTGAAAGCAGCAGGGAACTTGAGAGCAGGTACCCCCTCACCCTGGCTGGGGTGCCACCCCTGAGGAATCAGATTCAGACCAATGGTGTGATTGTCCCAAGACACACAGTGCAGAGCTGGGATAAACGAGAATCCCGTGGTAGTTATATAACCTGGTGTCATTTTGGGACTTGAGAGGAGTAGGAGTGAAGGGGTAGAGTCTAGTCTGTCAATCGGGAGATAGCCGATGAGGCCTCTGTGTGGGCATGGCCGCCTCTTGAGGATTCTGGGAACTCTTGTATTTTTCTCCTTGGGGGTGGGAGACTCTCTCTCTCTCTCTCTCTGCTCACTCCCTGAGAGACATTCTACTGACAAGACACATGGCGCTGGAGAAGCCACATGAACCTACCCTGATGAAAACAGACCTCCGGAGCTGGAGAAGCCACAGAGAGACCCCTGCCAGCACTGAGATGCTTAAAATGCCACTGGACCCAAAGACTTTCTACCCACTGGCCTGTGATCCTCCTGCATTTGGCATCATTGCATATGTTTCGTGAGTCTGAAGGGGACTCTATAGATTGGTATTTGACATGTGGGCTAATATTGGACTTATGAACTTGATCTGGACTGGGCTGTGATGTTTTCTCAATATTCTATTGCTCTTGTATCCAAACCTCTTTCTTATTCACATATGCGTCTCCATGAATTTGTTCCTCTAGTCTACTCAGACTAACACCAATCCAGTGTGCATTCTATTCCACAATCGCTCCTTGGGAGAAGACAGGCTTTCTACTCCTGTAAACAGTGACAGTCTGGGGAACCCACACGAACAGTTCTACCCTGCCCTATAGGTAGCTATGAGTTGGCACCAACTGGATGCCAGTGAGTTAAGTGGAGTTGCATATAACTTGGAAGCAGTGCTCTGTTATCTGGCTCCAAGGAATATTAAGCCAGTAGAAAACTACTTTTAATGGTTTCTCTGAACCCTAGCTTTGAATATTCCCTCTAAGGAATGAAGTTAGTTGGTGTGTTTTCTTGCTAAAGATGGAGGAAGGTGAGAGGGTTTGAGCTACATAGTTGATCGTTTAGAGCTGACTTTCCCAGCCTCATTTCTATCTCAAATACGCTAAAGGTTCACATCTTACCAGGAAACGATGAAGGAGAAAGTGGTTTAAGCATGACAATTTTGCTCTTAGGGGAGTACTGCTCCTGATTTCGCAGGGTCTGAATGTCTATGCAGTGCGTAGCTCATCCGAATCTCACATTGTACAGGAGCAACAAAGGAGATCCTTTTACAAACGAGGGTACTGAGGTTTTGTCTTGTTGTTGTTTTGACAAGCAGACAATTCTAAGCAGAATAGGGACAGGTTATAGGTAATTCTGGCTTTTTATCAAAACCTTAATTTTAGGGTGGTGATGGTCTTGACAAAATTTTTGGGAAGAGCCCAAACACAGAAAGCATGTGTGTATTCCACCAGGGAGATGGACCAAAAACAAAATCTAAAACCCGCACTTGTGCTGTCGAGGTAATTCTGACTCATGGAGGCTCCACGCGTCACAGGATAGAACTCCCCCACCCGGGTCTTCTAGTCTGTAATTTTTATGGTAGCAGATTTCCATACTTCTGGGCCACCTTGGGGGGGGGGGGGTTTCAAAGCGCCAAGTTCTATGTTTGCTGTGGAGCACACATGGTTTGCATCGCCCAGAACCCTACAGGGAGTTACAGAGTGCTCTCTGTTAACTGGGAGGGTTGAGTACACCCAGAGGTATCAGGAGAAAGGCCCGCAATCTACTTCCTAACACTAGGCCACTGAGAACTTGACAGGCAGCAGTTCTCCTCTGACATCCACAGGGTTGCTGTGAGCCAATCGAACCTGGGTGCTATCGAGATCCGTACATATAATGATGGTCCTTTCTGTTTAGTGAAGCTGAAAGCCTTATGAAGTTTTGCTCTTGTCTGGGAGCAAACGAAGGCGGAGAGACCAGCTGATATGTTCTTGGTCACACAGATAATATGTGAAGAGTTACACTGCAAAGGGTGAGCACTCTAGTGTGGAAATGTTCTTTCTGGTGATGTGTTAGATTTGACAAAACGTTACCATAATGAAGCAGTATATTTATTCATGGAGGGTTTTTTAATTAATTTTTTTATAGCACTGCTCTTTGTACGGGCAAAGTAAAATCTGACAATGCCTCCAAATAGAGTCTGTACCTTCTCTTTCTTCTTCTTCCTTTTTTTTTTTTCAAATAAAGAACTTCCAGGACAGAATGGGAAGGTTTTAATGATAAAAATATCTTTAACGAGAGTAAGCTCCATTTTCTACTTTCTTACCCTCTACAAAATTCCAGTCCTTAAGAAATAAAAGCTAGCTTAAGATCTGAAATAATCTGTCCTTCTGAAAAAATTCCATTTCTTAAGAAATCAATGATAAGATCTAAAATAATACCAGATCTCAATAATTAGAAAATGACTTTTCCTTTTGGGATTATTTTACTTTGATAAACAGCTTCCTCCCTACTACTTTTTTTGAAAAGAGATCATCATTTGTAATTTAACCCAATCAAGCAGTTGTTAGCATAGTTGCATGCATTTTGCCTTTGAAAGAGTTCCCCGTTTGTAAAGGACTATAGAGCTGACCTTTCATCTCAGCTTTAGAAATCCTGCAAGAAGAGATTAGCATTGAAGGGAAATTTACAAACCATTCCACCTCAGCTTCCACCCCAGATGGGCCCACCTTTTATAATCTACCAGTCGAGGAGGCTAGGCAATGATGGAGAGCTCACACCTTCAGAAAATAGGCACCCTTTGTTCAGTAAATCTCATCAATTGATCATTTTTCCTTATTTTGAATCAAAATTGGCCCACCCTTCTGTCTAGGTGTGACTCCCAACGTGCCACAAAGCCTTCTCTACTTCCCCTGTGATTTTGAACATCACCTATTTGATGTTCCCTTCCTAGCCACTTCCTCCTCTTCAGATGAGGCTCTCAGTTCCTTTCAAACGCCTTCCTCTGCCTGAAGGTCACATCTGTCAATAGCATCCTCCGGGAGACATTCTCAACTCGATTCCGCACACCGGGCTCCTTTCCACCACGTGCATCTCAAAACGGATGGTGTTCTTTTCCAAACTGCTGCTGCTCACAACATCCGCTCGCGGGGTGACTAGGCTATTTCTGCTCCCTCTTTTACTGAGAGTGGGATTGTGGTCTGAAAAATTACCTTTGCCAACGTCTCATCATCCAGGTGATTCTTCTGAATCACATGTTGAAGTGCAAAATAAATTTTTTCCTGAAGCTTCTGGACCTTCCTTGGTTCTATCAGCCAGGCTCGGTCTGACAAAGGAAAACAGAATTAATAAGCAAGGAGAAGGGATCTGCTAGCACACATGCTGGATTTTAGAGGCATTTCATATTGCTAGTTCTAAATTGTTTCTAAAGGCGGCTTTGGCGACACAGAAAACATTGTCGTAGAAAATCAGGGTGCAACCAAATTCTGTTGTGTTTCTTGTTGTCTGGGGCAACTCATGTCTCCTTACACTATCACCAGATTTTCTTTCAAAGTGGAAGTAACTGATTTCTAGAAAAAAAATTTTTTTTTCCATTTGTGCAAAAAATTCATTGTACAAGAAACTTTTTTATATTCAAAACCATCCTTTTCCCTTTCTGAACTTATTTCCTCATCAGACACGAAGCTGAGTCTTTGTGAAAATTTACGTAGCCTGAGCACAAAAGTGAATTTTGAAAAGTTGTTCTGGAGACATTTGAAAACACCGTAATATTCAATGGTGGGTAGGGAAAATTCCTTCTTTGCTCCCTCCTTCTTTTCTTTCCTTCTCTCCCTCTCCATTCATCCTTCTTTCTCCAGTTTCCTCTTTTCTTTCTCTTTTTCTATCGGCTTTGTACACCACCGTGACAAAAGAAAGCCAACATCCATGCCTTTGGCCAGAACCGCAATGACGAGACAACTAGAATATTCAAATGCTAAACAAGGACTCATGGAGAAGAACTCGGACGTGATCCTCCTGAGCACAGTTCAGGGCAGGTGAGAAACCCGATTCTGTCATCTTATACAGGGCAAGAACAAGTCTCGCAAACCGGTAGGCAAACGCTTACGTAAAGGAGTACAAAAGCCCGCAGTGACAATTGTCCATCCGAAGAAATTAAGTTTCCTCCCTTCTCCCGGCCCTCCTCCGTGTGGAGTAGAAAACACAGTGGCTTGCACGCTAGAACCAAGGGGAAGTTGGCACCTGGCACGAAATGGAATCTAGAAAAGCTGTCCATCTGTCTTCCTTCTCTTTCTGAAGGTGGTGCGAGACCAGGGAGGCAAGCAGGGGATGGGGAGTCGTTGCCGGTTCTTGAGTATGGCTCTGCTCTCAAGACGGAATGACGCTCCTCCGCTGCATCCCACAGGACAGCTGTCATGCTTCCCAACTCAGCAGGATTTGATGGCTGTCACAGCCCTTTCTAGAAGAAGCCCAATCAGCTGAGCTGATTTCTAACCCATCAAGAGCAGACGTCCCTTCCTTCTGTGACATCGCGTCTTCAAGGACCGTTCAGAGCCCTCTCTGCTCTCTAAGGCGGAGCCCTCAGGAACCAGACTTGATATGCCATATCTTAACTATGCACTCCTAGGGACCAGTTGACTTGGCACAAGTGTATCCAAAGAGGAGAAAGAATCTACAAGGACTCCTTTGAGCAAGCAGTCACCCGAGAGAAAACCATAAACCCCGAGGGTTAGAAATCGTCCTGCAATGAACCACTCATTGGGAATCATCACAAACAATGAGAGAAGTGGGAGAAGTATAACTTGGCATGTAGTTGCTCTCAGGAATGGTATTTCTCGCTACTTCTTTGTGCTGACAGGACCGGGGATCTTTAGGATAAAATGATAGAAGAAGAAGATGATGAAAAGGCCCAGAGAAACAGGCTTGATTTGTGACACAGCCATACAAGAAATTGTGCCATAAATGGCATTGTGCCAGTACCAGTACCAGTGGTGAGAGTTGCGATACCCGGAAGGTGGAGGGAAGGTGGGGTGGAGACGGGGAACCGATGACAAGGATCTACATGTGACCTCCTCCCTGGGGGAGGGACAACAGAAAAGTGGGTGAAGGGAGACGTCAGACAGTGTAAGATAGGACAAAATAATACTTTATAAATTTTCAAGGGTTCATGAGGAAGGGGAGTGGGGAGGGAGGAGGGGGGAAATTAGGAGCTGATATCAAGGGCTCAAGTAGAAAGCAAAGGTTTTGAGAATGATGATGGCAACGAATGTACAAATGTGCTCGACACAATGGATGTATGTACGGATTGTGATAAGAGTTGTCCGAGCTCCCAATGAAATGATTAAAGAAAAAAATATAACTGAAAAAAAAAGGAAATTGTCATTAATGATATTTGGAGTGATAACTAATCTTTGTTTTTGATAAAGTGATTTTTTTTTAAAAGAAATAAAGGCACTCCCCCCCACACACACACACTGGATGAATCTATCAGGGATTATATTAGGAATAATAAAATCTAAGTGATGGAAAGTGTAGAGGCTGAAATTATTGGTAGCAACAGATGGTGTAACATCACTGACAATACATTAGCGTATAAGAAAGCAATCTTGTCTCTAGAGTTATAGGAGAGAGTCTCTTGACCAAAATATTAAGGAGGAACATGTCTTTCCTATAAAGAGTTGTCAATGACCATGCTGTCCAGGACCCCAAATCTAACTTGACAGACAACTGGATTAATGATTCTTGAGTTCCCTTTTTAACTAAATAGCGAGCCACATGTTTATTAGCATTCTAATGATAGCAAGCAATGCTTAAAAAATATTCCATTTTCGACAGTTTTATTTGACCCATAAACACGATCACACCTTAATGTCTTTGACAATTTTGGGGTTATTTTATGCTATTAGGTCCCTGGGTAGTGCTCACAAGTTGGGGTGCGAACTGCAAGGTCAGACGTCCAGTACCACCGGCCACTCTGAAGGTGGCTGGTCGGAGCAGAGCCAGCAGGCCAGGCAGTAGACTGCACACCAGCTTGTGGAACAATTCTACTCTGACACACAGGGACTCCCCGTGAGTCAAAATGGACTTCAGGGCAACCGTGTTTTGTTTGTTTCTTTTAAAAATATACCTTGCCCTGCCTTGTGGAGTCCTCGTGGCACAGTGGGCCATTTGCTGCTGGGCTGCTAACAGCAAGCTGAGCAGTCGCTCTGGGGCAGGAAGACAAGGCTTCCTGCTCCTGTACGGCTCACAGTCCCGGGAACCCACAGGGGCAGTTCTGCTCTGTTCTACAGGTCACAGGGGTCGCGACCCACTCACGCCAGTGGGTTGGGCTTGGTCATGGCTCTACTTCTTTGAAACATTTTTTGGTAACTTAATGCTGTTTTAGAGTTCAAACCGATCTTAGTGATGATTTTAGAGATGAGGAAACTGGAATTCGGAGAGGTCACGTGTTGAAGGTCACACAAAACATAACTCGTATTAGAATATCTGTGTCTACATCGTAGACCCTTCCTGTCCCCCTCCCTGGCCATCTTCAGCAGGAGCTATTGTTCGCTTCGAGGTGCTCATCTCCTCTTAAGGCTCCCAATCTTGGGTAGAGCGACCAGTTATTCACTGAGCTACTGGTGGAAAAGTTAACCCTCTTAAGTAACTCGGAGACACCTTCAAGAAACTCAGCCAGAAAACCATGGAAGGAAGTCCTGGCTGTTGGCTTCTGTGTAGGTGGAACGCTTGAAGACTCTACGGAGCAGTTCTTCTCTGCACACACGGGGCTGCCGTGGGACAGAACTGACTCCACAACCTCAAACAGCAACGCTCCTGCTAAGAGAAGAGGTACTGCTTTGCTCAGATAAGCAAACCACCATTAATTTGGTCTGAGAAGCCAACCATGAACAGTATCTAAAGAGGGGAATGTTTACCTTTGACTTATTTTAGTTCCTAGGATCTGTCACTTAAGTATATTGCAACCAAGACTCACCCTATTGGCCATGTCCCCCGATAGCCTTTCTTCTTCAAGTTCAAACAGAACGCAGCTGTAAAACCTAGGTCACTAGCTGGTCTCATGATCCATTTAGGAACAATTCTGCTTCTCTCAATCTAGAAAGATCCCTTTGATTTCAGTACAAAATGGGTCACAGCAATTGATTTGTCCGTTTTCCTTTACTATGTCCAAAAGGATTGTAAGGTTGATAAAGAAAAATCTTGTTCTCCTGAACACATTGGCTTACATTAGTATTGCTAATAGCCAAGACCGTAAACCAGGTTTTCCATGAGGAAAAAAGGCAGGGACTTCGGGCCACCCTACCTGGAGATATCAGAACAGCAGATGAGAACAAGGCAATCTCTTCTTCAGTCAGCTGCAAGGAGCACAGATTCTTTGCAAAGTCAAATGCTTCATCCACTAGGTCATCAGAACCTATAAAGAACGAGAGAACAGGAAATGAAATTTAGTAAGTGGCCCCGGGAAGCTCTGAGAAACTGCATCATTAAGAAGCTGCCGCAGAGTTTTGTACACTAGATATGGAGACTATTTCTAAGTTCCTGTAAAGAATAAACGAGTACCTGGGTGTCCAAATGGCTTCTTTCAGATGCTAACAGAAAGGTTTGTGGTCAAAGTCCACTTAACTGTTTCTCAGAGGAAAGACCGGGCAGTATATTTCCCCCCAAAGTCCGTCACTGAAACGCCTATGTTTGTACTCTGACACACATTGGTTTGCTATGAGTTCAAATACATGATTTGGGTTAATAACCCAATCCAAGGTTTGGGTTAATATTAATATTGGTGTAAAAGAGTGATTTGAGAGTAATTATCCTGACCTACAGCGACCCTGTGGAAGAAAGTGGAACTGTCCACAGCGTATCCAAGGCTTTAACCTTGATGAAGGCAGACAGTCATTGTCTTCCTCCTATGAAGTGGCTGATGGGTTTGAACGGCCAACTTTTCTGGAAGACACTGGGCACTTAACTATTGTGTCACTAAGGCTTCTTGAGAGCAGCTTTAGAGTGAAGAGACGGGGCAACATCTTGACCAGGTAATCAAAATTAACACTACCCCTGAGAAGCAAGTGGACAGACTATACCTTCCAATGCACTTTCTGCTTGGGAATGCATTATCTAATCCTATGAGCATGAAGTTATTTTCAATTAAAAATGTGTTTTTTTAAAAGGGATTTTGGAACTCCTAGAATGGTGATTTTCATCACAAAAAAAATCTACGTTAAAAAGGGCACAGGGCTTCCAGCCCCAGTGGCCCCGAACCTACACATGTCAGATGTCCAGGTGCCTCAAACTGAGCTGGTAGAAACTTCTTAGGGAAGAGAGGTAAGGGACTCTCCAATTTGGAAAATTCCCTGAAAATATGACCAAAGGGCTCGGGCTTCTGTATTTTCACCTTCTAAGAGATGACTCACAAGTAAGTTGCCAGCCATCACGAATTCTACAAAACCCGGCTTTGTCCCTACATGGTTCCCTGGGAAATGTTTATTTCATGAAGCTGGAAATATACTGAAATTGCTTGCCAAGGCTTTTCCTTCTTCCTTGAAAGTCTAGCCTTGGAGATGGCATGGATGCGTATCAAGAGCAGAAAGGAAATATTGCCAGCCCTGATGGGTTTGCAGTTGGCTACCATATCAGCTAACAGCACAAGAGGTGAAAGAGTGGTGTCCTTTTTTGATGTCCACGAGCAGGATATGGAACAAATGGTTCAATCACTCGGTGAAAACTTTCCTGGCATTAGCCCATCACTGCTAATGTTCTTCCTATCCGGGTGCCTGGACTGATGACTGGCTATGAATGGGACACGACACTTTCAGATATGCAAGAATTCTGGTCCTCCATTAAGAATAACCTGCAAACCATTTTTGTAGATCAGTGTCGACTCTGTATGCCTTAGAACATCATAAATTAACAGGGAAACCCTCTCTTTTAAAATAAATCATTTTATTGGGGGCTCTTACAGGTCTTACCACATAATTGTGTCAAGCACATTTGTACATTTGTTGCCATCATCATTTTCAAAACATTTTCTTTCCACTTGAGCTCTTGGTATCAGCTCCTCATTTTTCCCCTCCCTCCCTGACCCTCTCTCCCTCATGAACCCTTAATAATTTATAGATTTTTTTTCATGTCTTACACTTTCTGACGTCTCCCTTCACCTACTTTTCTGTTGTCTGTCCCCCAGGGAGGGGGTTATAGGTAGATCTTTGTGATCTGTTCCCCCTACCACCCCCCCACCTTTCCCTTCCCCTCCTGGTATGGCTACTCTCAATATTGGTCCTGAGGGGTTATCTGTCCTGGATTCCCTGTGTTTTCAGATCTTGTCTGTACAAGCTAGCCAGATTTGTAATGTAGAATTGGGGTCATGATAGAGGGGTGGGGGGTGGGGGGAGAGGAAGCATTAAAGAACTAGAGGAAAGTTGTATGTTTCATTGGTGCTATACTGCACCCTGATTGCCTCATTTCCCTGCGTCCCTTCTGTAAGGGATGTCCAGTTGCCTGAAGATGGGCTTTGAGACTCTACTCTGCACTCCCCCTCATTCACAATGATATGATTTTTTGTTCTTTGATGCCTGATACCTGATCCTATCGACACCTCGTGATCACACAGGCTGACGTGCTTCATCCATGTAGGCTTTGTTGCTTCTCAGCTAGATGGCTGCTTGTTTATCTTCAAACATTTAAGACCCCAAATGCTGTATCATTTGATAACCAGGCACCATCAGCTTTCTTCACCATATTTGCTTATGCACCCACTTTGTCTTCAGCAATTGTGTCGGGAAGGTGAGCATTATGGAATGCCAGGTTAATAGATCAAAGTGTTCTTGTGTTGAGAGAGTACTTGAGTAGAAGCCCAATGTTCATCTGGGGTAGCCCTCTTTTAATTAAACATTGTCATTCCTGATTATCAATTTCAAAAAGAAACTTAACAGGCTGCCTCTTGAAAGTTTGCAGGGTGTGTGTCTATGATACACGTTTAAAAGCAATAAAATAGAAGGTAAAAGTAAAGTTGGTTCTGCAAAGAATGACCTTTGATGCATTCCAACCCTTTCAGAAGGCATCCTTATTTACTTCCTAATGAGACGTAGGGGCCAATGACTCAGAATCAAATTGAGGGCAGCAGGGTCTTCCCAGCCTCCATGATGTCTTCTGCCTTTTACATTTGAAGCCATAACCGTTCAAACTGGGAGTCAGAAGAAACATGCAGACTGGCTTAGACCAGCCCTTTTAGAATATGAGTTCACATGAAGAATCTCTGGTGGTGCAAATGGTTAATCATTCAACCAACCAAAAGGCTGGGGACGCAAACCCACCCAGAGGCACCCCAGATGAAGGGTCTGCTGGTCTATTCCTCAAAGCCCACAGCCTTGAAAACCCTGTTCAGTCCAGCTCTACTTTGTCACACGGAGTCGCCAGCCAGAATCAAATCCGCCCACTGTTGTTAATGTTCATTGTTGTTGTTCACCTGGCAGGATCAAGGAATGTACGCATGCCTGCATGTTGACATAAGTGGAGAGCCAGAGGATAGCTAAGAAGAGGGTGTCGTCAAAGGGGAACTTACCTAAGGCTTTGAACATTTGCACCCCTCCATATTTTCCTTCAAACAGGACAGTGTTGTTTAGCGGGTTGAAGGCACGGCACATTCTCACTAAAACCACTTCCAAGCAACCTAGGTGAGGAAAACAAACAGGAAAGTACATGTGTTATCATGAGGTTATTACTACACACAGGTCAGGAGATTTTAGGAATTTCAACACACACACACACACACATGCAAAACTCCTTGAGATTCATTTCCATATTGAAAACCACTTTGTTAGAAATAAAGTTCCCTTGATATTTATTTGAGGAATTGAAAATAAACTGTATCTCAAGGATGGCTCCCATTAAGGCCAGGAATAAGTTTTAATACTGTACTATACACTTCTTATCATTTTAACATTATTATTCAAATGAGTTTCAATTCTTTATATACCTTTGACCATAATTGACCCCAACAGAACTTTTGTAGCATGGCAAATCTAGTTCATGAACTTTTTTATTTTTTAACTGTTTATTGTGATTTAAGTAAAAGTGTACAGAGCACACTGGTTTTCCATTTTCCATACATCAGATTAGTGCTTAAGCAAATTGGTTTGCGTCAATTTGCATCATCTGGTAACGAAGCAGCAGGAATTTAGAATCAACCCTAAACTTGAATCAAGTTCAAATGCCAACTCTGCCACGTGATGACGTTGGAACACTGACCAGGACCTTGCACTGTTGTGGGCCGTTGCCCTATTCTCTATCAGATGGAAATCAGAATGTCAATCTCACATGATTCGATGAGATGTCCTACATAGACATAAATATGTAACAGTATTTAATATATATATATAAAGAATAGTATTATTACTATGGTCCAGGACCACTAAAGGTAACATAAAAAGCACCCACCCTCAGTGCCATCGAGTCAATTCTGACTCATAAGGGTCATAGGAGTTGGGCTGCAAACCACAAGGTCAGCAGATCAAAACAACCCACCACTCTTCAGGAGAAAGATGAGGCTTTCTAATCCTGTAAAGGGTTAAAGTGTCATAAACCTGCAAGGGGCATTTCTGCTTTGTCTTCTAGGGCCCCGATGACAGGACAAACCCCACACTGGTTCTTGTTTTCGAATTTGAAAGGGGTGGAAGGGAGACAAACGCTGCTTGTTTGGGTGAGAGCATGTGCAAAGCCAATCTTTTTCAGAGTTGTTTGCACTTGCTTGCTAGGTGGCTGTGCGGTTGTCAGCGCGTGTGAGGGAGGCCGAGGGAAAAATTGGAGCACAGTAACATTTCTCCTGGTGTACACCGGCTGCAGGCAATACTCATTAAAATGATCCCAATGACCACAGAGGCAGAGCCCAGCCAGCCAGGAATTTTTCTTCCTCTACAGAAGGCAAGTAGTGTGCTTTAGCGCCAGCTCAGTGATTCAGCCACCTTGACACACTAATTACTCGCACTGCATGTCAAGCTGGGTGTCCCAGCCTCTGCGATTAATAGCTCCACTTTCAATAAGCAAAATTGTATTTGACTTCAAAGGAGAGCTGGATGAGGACCGGGCCATTCATATATCTACTACCAAGCGTTTCCTTTGAGAGCGGGCTTACATGGTGGGTGGTAAAAATATGCCGGATATTGGAAGGAGGCTTTTTAAGAACAAATGAGTTGAGGCACCATCGTGTCCCCGTCTATAGCAGGTGTCTCTTATCCCCATGAATCTTCACTTGCTCACCTGACTTCAGAAGTAGAATTTGATCATTTTGACAGAGCTCCATGAAGCCTGTTATCCGCTTTGCAAACTCCACCACGTATTGGATGGCGTGGGTGATCTGAATGGCACATTGCTGCCACAGCGCTTCCCTAGACTTGAGAAAGAAAACACAAGATGTCAAAGGAGCCATGAACTCCTGGGAGAGCCAACACAATAGCCAGCCTTGCCTTACTGGCAGTCACCTGCCACTTGGGATTTCAGGTGGGAATTGAGTTCCTTTAAAAGAGTGAGATGCTGTTTTCTAAGGTATTGTGTTAATCTACTTGAATGCTGATACTCAACAGTGACAAAAGTACAAAACAAGGAAAGAACCAGGAGGCAAAGGACATTTATAGATGCCTAAATACAGGCATGTACATATGTAAATATATATAACGAGAGGGGAATAGAACTATGTACTCATATCTATAGGTTGAGAATTAAGGTTGCAGATGCACATTGTGCTCGACTCAAGTACTCCCTCAACACAAGAACACTTTGTTCTAACAATCCGACATTCTTTGATGCTCCTTCCCAACACGATCGCTGAGGACAAAATGGGTGCATAAGCAATTGTGGTGAAGAAAGCTGATGGTGCTCGGCTATCAAAAGATATAGCATCTGGTGTCTTAAAAGCTTGAAAATAAACAAGCGGTCATCTAACTCAGAAGCAATAAAGCCCACATGGAAGAAGCACACCAGCCTGTGTGATCATGAGGTGTCGAAGGGATCAAGTATCAGGCATCTAAGACCCAGAACAAAACCATATCCAAGGTGAATGGGGGAGGGGCATGGAGTGGAGAGCCAATGCCCATCTGTAGACAATTGGACATCCCTCACAGAAGGGTCACAGGGAAGAGATGAGCCAGTCAGGGTGCAGTACAGCACCGATGAAACACACAACTTTCCTCTAGTTCTTTGGTGCTTCCTTACCCCCACTATCATGACCTCAATTCTACTTTATAAATTGGATTAGACAAGAGCATGCACAATGCTACAGATAAGAGCTCGCAACACAGGGAATGCAGGATACATAAACCCCTCAGGGCCAACAATGAAAGTAGAGATACCAGAAGGATTAGGGGAGGGTGGGGGGAGAAAAGGGGAACGGATCACAAGGATCAATATATATATATATAACCTCCTCCCAGGGGGATGAACAACAGAAAAGTGGTGAGGGGCAATGGAGGACGATATAAAATAAAATAGTTATTATTTATTACTCTAATTTCAACCTTTCCTTCCACTCACTTAAATTCCAGCTTTGTCAGTAAGTGAAAACAAACTTGTGGTGAGAGAGAGATAATAAAATCAAAGGCTTCCTTGATATCATTTCATGCATATCTATTAAACAGTAAACTTGCAATATGTTTGTGTTGTATTCTTTTTCCAGAATTTATGGAAACAGTATTTTCTTTTTCTGTAATGAAAAGATTATCAAGGGAAAAACCACTAAGACAAATTAAGTAACATATTTAGAGACACAAACTGTTAAAATTCCATCTACGAGACTGAGAAACAGCGGAGTAAAGTACACAAGCTCTGTACTTACTGATTATCTCATCAGCTAGCCTTGATCACCACAGTGGGAAAAAACACAACCCTACTCTGATCATTTTGCTCCGCAACGACATACAGTAATAATTTTGGGAATGATGGTTAAGATTACGTGTCAACTTGGCTCCCCAGCTATGTAATGACATAATCTGGCAGTAATGCAACGATTTAGTCATTCTCCATTTTGTGATCTGATGTGGCCTTCTTCTGTTTTTCACACAGCACGTTGGTTTGCATCCTAATCTGGTCTTTGAAACCCAGCCGCGTCAGTAAGTGCGGTCTGGATGACATTTGAACACTGAGGAACACTAACAATTCCTTCTTCTGATAAGTGTTCTGGAAGCTCTGGTAGCATCGGGTGGTTACGGCTAACTTCAAGGTCAGCAGTTGGAAGCTACCAGCTCTTTCCTGGGGGAAAGGTGAGGCTTTCTATCCCTCTAAAGATTTATCGTCTTTTCAGAAACCAGAAGAGGCAACTATATTCTGTGCTATATGGCCAGTGTGAACCAGAATTGGCTCAATGACAGTGGGTTTGGCTTTTTGGAATAGCTTTTTAATGGACATAAAGAAAAAACAGTCAATGAGATAATAGTAATAATATTAATAATGTAGCATAAATTGTCCCCTTTTTTTCTTAGCTCCTTCTTAATACACCAGGCACGAGAAGAAGAAGAAAAAAAGAATGCTTGGTTCCTTATCTGTGTTGTATAAATTTGTGACATTTATTATGATTGTGATTTCTTAATTAATCCTGCTCCCTGCCTGACCTTAAGAAATCAATGTTCTAAAATCATCGGGTGGATGGTCAGTCTCTTGGGTCCCTCCAATGGGGCAGTGTTTTTCCATTGGAGTGCCTTTGCCTCCCAGGAAAGAATTGGCAAGGTCTAAAGCCCTTTTGGGTCATCGCAGCTGTTAACATTTAGGAATGTGGCCCCACATCCCACAATGCACAGGACAACGCCTGCCAACAAAGAACCAGCGCCCACAATGTCAGTAATGTCTGCATCGAGAGAGAAGGTGACCACAGAGAGCAAGCATGCGCACAGAGCCCGAGAGTTACCTTGCTTTGATACGCTTTGATTTCTTCGTAGGTGTGGGTTTGCCAGGCCAGCTGGTGCAGCTCCTCCATGGTGTATTGGCAAGTCTCCAAATGGGACTTAATGATGTTCTGAGCAATTCGATCTGGGAGAAAGAATATGCATTGGAGGGGTGAAAATAAGTCCCTCTTCTCAAAGAAACCTGCTTGTCATGCATTTAATTTAGAAACGCTTTTTGGAGATAACGTGTCTTCATCACCACCATTTATCCTGAATATTCCTGAGAAAAAAATTTATTGTCTTCTTGTCAATTATCAGTCTTTTCACCAAACATTTCTTTTTTGATACCTCTTTTTGATCACAACGGGGGGTCTTAAAGGTTGTCAAGCATTCACATAATTACCTTATTTTTCAAATAAATATAAAATCATCCTATCCTCTGTTTATAGATTTCAAAGTCCACTAATATGCTTAACATTTATAATCTAAGTACTTTACATTGTTTTGAAAATCACTAGACCACTATTGTTTATCTCAGAAAGGGAAGATTAAGATATAAATGCACTTGTTTGTATTTCTTAAAAGGGATGCTCCCCAAATAAACACATCTATCTCGAAAGAAGTACAGCCGAATGCTCCTTAGAAGCAAGGATGGTGAGAGTTTATCTCACGCACTTTGGACCTGTGGTCAGGAGAGACCAGTCCCTGGAGAAGGACATCATGTTTGGTAAAGTGAGGGGCAGAAAGAAAGAGGAAGACCCTGGACTAGATGGATTGCACGTGGCTGCATCAATGGGATCAACCTCCCCACCAGTGTGGGGACGGCTCAGGAGCAGGAGGTGTTTGGTTCTGTGGTGCATGGGGTGACGATGGGTTGGGATGGATGGAACAGCACCTGACAACAAAAAACTGAAATGGAAGGAAAAAAGTCTCTCTAGAGAAGGACAGAGGTTAAAACTAGACTGCTCTGATGATATTTTTTTTTGTAGGTTTGACTTACAGACCATGCAAACATTTTAATATTTCCTCAACGTTTCTAAATACATAGAAGAAAAGCAAAACAAATAGATATAGTACATTTTTGAGTTCTGGGGTCATATGGAAAGAAACAAGAACGATTCGAAGTGTCTTACAATAACGAGTGAGAAATACACCTTAAGAAACAGAATTCTGATTCAATATGAAAAAAATAGTTTTCCATCATCATAACTTGTTGGCTTGTAAATCTTCAGACTGTTGTATGTGTATTGTGAGATACAGGAAGTGTCCTTATATTCTTGTTACTGTTGTGGGGGTTTTAATAAGGGAAGAAAGAGACACCGACATACAATCAAGGAATTTAAGTAAAAACCCGTTGCTCCTGAATTTGAACTGGAAGAATCTCTATAAACTCATAAGCATTGTTTTTTCAAGAAGGTTATTTTCTAGCTGTGTCTACTGAACATGGCAATAGATTGTGCTCTAAATATCATTACCCCAAAAGGCTTCGGAGAAACAGTGAATTCTATATCTGGCCAAGAAATGTACAAATAACCCTTCTCAGACTAGAAGACTAGAAGTCAGAGACCAGTAGGATGGGTCCAAAGAGCTCCGGAGCCAATCTGAAGTGGTCTGTCTAAAGCTGAGACACTTGAAATATCAACCAGGGTAATAATTTTAATTGGTTAAAACACATAAAACACGCTAAATCTGGGCATTTATAATGAAGGGGAGAAAGGCCATATTCTTGAAGATGAGAAGAAACATTTTTATTCATTAAAAACTGGTCAATAAGGATAAAAAAACACTAGTTTGCTTTCCCTGTAGCTCCTCCAGGAACCACACCTAGAGTCACCCAGTGGTCGATGAGAAGTTTCTTTCCTAAGCCACAGATAGGACAGCAGTACAATATCGGTTTGCCATCTCCGACGAATTAATGACTGAGTATCACAATATTCAGAAGCCCAGATGGCACTGTGGTCTACTAACTGCCAAGCCGACAGTTGAGACTCACGAGTCACTCCGCAGGATAAAGATGAGGCTTTCCGGCGCGGAGTAGGGAATCAGTGGAGAGGTCTAGGGGGCTGGTCCCAGCCCCAAATACTAAGTGGATGCCTGCCCCTCCCCTGAGAAGAATGTATCTCAAA